ATACCTTATCAGGCCATATTTGGAGCCTCTTGAAAAGATACGATTCCGCTATAACTGTGAGCGTGTCATTGGCCTTGACAAACATGATGGTATCTTTTTGATTGGTGAATTCTGTCTGTATGTGATCGAGAATTTCTACATCGACGACTCTGGGTGCATTTGTGAGAAAGAATGTGAAAATGAACTGTCAGTTATTGATCAGGCTTTGGGTGTAAAGAAGGATTGTCTGGGCAGTATGGATTTCCAGTCCAAGTCTACTTCATCTTGGGGGGTTATAGTTAAGTCATGGTCTGGGGGAAGAGCTTGGGCCTACAGTGGTGGTGCTTGGGGAAAGGAGAAAGTAGGCAGCAGCGGTAATCTACCTCATCCTTGGCGTATGTGGAAGCTTGACAGTGTTCATGAGATTTTGAAGCGAGATTATCAGCTGCGACCGGTCGCTGTTGAAATATTCAGCATGGATGGATGCAATGACCTTCTGGTGTTCCATAAAAAGGAGAGGGAAGAAGTCTTCAAAAATCTTGTTGCCATGAATCTTCCCAGAAACAGCATGTATGGAATATACTATCAAATTCTTCTTTGCTTATTTTCTCTAAAGCATTCACTGCTATAATTTCTGCCTAGTCTATACTAGACTTTACTGACACAAACATATACTACTCTTAGGTTGGACACTACAATCTCTGGATCAACCAAGCAAGAGAGTAGTGAGGGCAGCCGTCTTTTCAAGATAATGGCCAAATCATTTTCAAAAAGGTGGCAAAATGGAGAGATAAGCAATTTCCAGTACCTCATGCATCTCAATACCTTGGCAGGACGAGGATACAGTGATCTTACACAGTACCCGGTGTTCCCATGGGTCCTTGCTGATTATGAAAGTGAAAACCTTGACCTGACGGATCCAAAATCATTTCGCATGCTTGCTAAATCTATGGGTTGTCAGACACCTGAGGGAGAAGAGGAGTTTAAGAAAAGGTCAACCCCCTTATAACTACAATTGTTAGCATCTCATTTTTTATTGTTTTGATCTACTTTGAAGACAATTTTGATCTACTTTGAACGCATAAATGTTTTTTTGCATCAGGTTTTTGTGTTTTAACTTTTTCTGGCTTGTTCTTCAGATATGAGAGTTGGGATGATCCAGAGGTTCCAAAATTTCACTATGGTTCTCATTATTCTAGTGCTGGAATTGTCCTCTTCTATTTGCTGCGGCTTCCACCATTTAGTGCAGAGAATCAAAAGCTTCAAGGTGGGCAGTTCGACCACGCTGATCGTCTTTTCAACAGTATTAGAGATACCTGGTTAAGTGCAGCTGGAAAAGGAAACACATCAGACGTGAAGGAGCTCATTCCAGAATTCTTTTACATGCCCGAGTTCCTCGAAAATAGGTTCAATCTTGACTTGGGAGAGAAACAATCTGGAGAAAAGGTTCCTACGATTTTTATTTATTACTCTTCAAATGTCTTTTACAACTAATACACTAGCATACCCTGGACCGGGTTAGGCCGTGTGGGATGGGGAAGGAGTTGGAGCATAAATTGTTAATTGAAAATACTTTTAGAGATAAAATAACTTTTTTTTGTTTGCCAGGTTGGTGACGTTTTCTTACCCCCATGGGCAAAGGGCAGTGCTAGGGAGTTCATCAGGAAGCATAGAGAAGCACTGGAATCTGACTTTGTTTCAGAAAATTTGCATCATTGGATAGACCTCATCTTTGGTTATAAACAGAGAGGGAAGGTGGGTTTTGAAGTTGAGAGCCTTTGCTCATCAATCCATTTTGTTTAGTTTCCTTGTTAAAAGTTCATCAAACTATTGAACAGTCTTGAAGGTATAACTGTGTTACAACAACACTACAGCAGTGGAGCATATCACATTGTTTTCACCAGTCGAAGGTGTTTCATTATAGGGAAATTTCTAACTATGAGATATTTTGCGTTTGTCAGGCAGCAGAGGAAGCTACCAACGTTTTCTACCACTACACATATGAGGGGAGTGTGGATATAGATTCAGTGACGGACCCAGCAATGAAAGCCTCCATTCTAGCACAGATTAATCACTTTGGCCAGACACCCAAACAACTTTTCCTTAAGCCCCATGTCAAGAGGCGGGTTGACAGAAAGTTTCCTCATCCACTCAAGCATTCTAATCTTGTTGTTCCGCATGAGATTCGTAAGAGCTTGTCTTCTATTACTCAGATTGTCACTTCAAATGAGAAAATTCTTGTGGCAGGGGCTAATACCTTGCTTAAACCAAGATCCTATACCAAGTATGTTGCATGGGGATTCCCAGACCGAAGCTTGAGATTTTTGAGCTATGATCAAGACAGGCTCCTATCTACTCATGAAAATCTTCATGAGGGTTACCAAATTCAGTGTGCGGGTGTTAGCCATGATGGCTGTATTCTGGTAACAGGGGCTGACGATGGCCTAGTTTGGGTTTGGAGAATTACCAAATATGCACCCCGTCTTGTCAGAAGATTGCAGTTGGAGAAAGCTCTTTCTGGTCATACAGCCAAAATCACATGCCTTTATGTTAGTCAGCCCTACATGCTTATTGCGAGCGGATCGGACGATTGTACTGTCATTATATGGGATCTGAGCTCCCTGGTTTTTGTCAGGCAGCTTCCTAAGTTCCCAACTGCAATTTCGGCAATTTATGTCAATGACTTGACTGGGGAAATTGTGACAGCAGCTGGAATTCTGCTCGCAGTTTGGAGCATCAATGGAGATTGCCTTGCAATGGTTAACACATCCCAGTTGCCCTCAGATTCCATTCTTTCAATAACGAGCAGTACTTTTTCTGATTGGCTGGATACAAATTGGTATGCTACTGGACATCAGAGTGGTGCTGTGAAGGTGTGGCAAATGGTTCATTTCTCTAATCCTGTTTCTCAAATCAAATCCACTGGTAGTAGCATGGTTGGTCTGAATCTCGACAATAAGGTAGCGGAGTATCGTTTGATTCTTCACAAGGTTCTGAAATTTCACAAGCATCCCGTGACTGCGCTTCACCTAACCAGTGACCTAAAGCAGTTACTAAGTGGTGATTCCAACGGCCATCTTGTTTCATGGACATTGCCAGGTGAGAGCTTGAAAGCAGCAGCAGCAGCTTCAATGAATCTGGGGTGAAATTGACAATCAGAATTAGTGCAAATATCGCAACTTTCAGGTTGATATTTGATTTTCTCTTCATGGACAACCGTCCACGGTCGAGGAAGGAACCAGCTGCATGAATGATCAAATCATGTCAGGTGTAAAATGACCGCAGCTGGCCTGGTGGTGAAACATGATGACTTCTATGCAAGACTGGGCTTCTCAGTAGCATGAGACTAACATCTTAGACAGGAAGAACATAGCATGAATGCTACTGCATTATACTATACTCAGCAAATTGGTGAAAGGGCATGAAGCAGGTTTAATTGTGGCTACGGGCTGTAGGATTGTGGTTTGACAGGGTTTGTTCTTTTCTATGGGGCAAAATTTAGGATGTTCTCGATTTTGAGCAAGAATGTTAGATTTTCCCCATAGTTGTTTGGGTGTAAATAGATTGAACGAGGGTAATGAGTGTAATGAAACTGTACATAGGAGATGTGCTATCGGAGAGACAGCTAGGTGAGAATGATGGCTCACTATGGTCGGTCTGTGTTAGAGGATGTTATGTTATGTTATGGTCCCGTTGTATTCGTTTTGGTTAAGTTCTCTTTGCATGGTGCAATGGATCTCTGTTTCTTTTGTCATGAAATATATAGATCTTTTGCTGATTCATAGTATTTTGATCCATGTGTTGCGCTTGGCAACTCCTTTCTATTGTTCTGGTAGAAGATGAATGTGTATCAGAATCAAGGTATTTTACTGTTCTCTATTTTTACCAAATTTTTTCAATGCAAATAACCTTTACTAAATCATGAACTAAACCCAAACCATTCAAAGACACCTGGGCCTTTATCATCAAGTTGGTTGACGAAGCTAACAAAGTTATAAAGTTCAAGGCCATGGACATTTTCTCGTTGGATTCAATAAAAACAACCCATCAAAGAACACGTTCAAAACAAAGTAGATTACCAACCAAAACTAAGAAAAAATACGCAAAACCAATGTTCAAAACAAACATTATAAAAGAAAAAAAAATGCATAACATAAATTCAACATTAATCCAACAATAGTTGTGAAATTGTTACAGAGATTCATTTTTTTTAAAAAAAGTCTTCAAATAACAACGATTTCTAGTTTATAATATTAGAAATGAAGGGAGATCGAAGGCAAGGAAAATTCATGGCTGTTTGACTTGTCATTCTATGCATCACAGAATGTGAAGGAGGAAGGTGCTGGGAAATTGCCAAGACAATGACCAGAAATAAACACACTTTTAATAATTGGCTCCACTCCGACAGGTCGTCGTTGTTCTTAATGTGTTTTCTGCAATCCGAAATTTCATGGGTAATTTACCATGTCGTGTTTTTCTGGCAAAAGGACGTTTTTCTTTTGTCCTTCGGAATTCGTACATTGTTGACCCTAAGCTACAAAAATCCACAAAAACGTGCTGCCAATGTCTTATTAATGGATTTGATAGAAAAAAAAATCCAAATTTGACTAACCTTATTCTTGTTTCTGATCCCCACGTTTGTATATAGTATTCAGATGATAACAACATTCAAATCCATTTGTTCTTATTGTATATACAGGAATTTACAGATCTAATTTTAGTCTACAAAACACAAACTTCGTCTCCTCTACCTAGTTTAATTGAACCACAAGAGCAGCCATCAGACAGCACCTTTTGATACTCAATCCCCATATATGAATGTTCTAAGCAAAGAAATCCAAGAATTACAGGACAAGGTTCTGGGAAGATTATGATATAAGCAAACAAGATCAGCTTGAGTTTATCTCTCACGCTTTATTTTAATTTTCTTTTCTTTTCCTTTCTTTTTTGCCTAATAAGGGCTGCATGTTGGATGTTCATCGAGCTAAATTCATTAGAGTTGACTAGAAAAGTTACTGCTACGAAGGTCTTTGCAATGAGAGTGCAAAATATCTATTTATAAGGCTCCTAAAGCCACAAGTTGTGACTTTTGATAGTCTGCAACGAAGCAAACAGCAACAAGCATGAGCAAATTCGAATCCAGTTACCATGAGATTCTACTTCTTGACATCGGCAAAGCCGCCCGAAGGAGGTGGAGAATTGCCTTTGCAGTAATATCCTCAATTCGGGCCATGCTTTCCCTAGCAGTGTCAAGAAGAAAAGATCATTGCAGTTTAATCAACTGTGAGATCTTGGAGGAAGGTTCATACGAGGAACAGATAGTCTACACCAAAGATGATCAGAAGAAGCTGATTGAAATGGTAAAGAACACAAACTTGGAAGCTTACTGTGAGCATGGGAAAGCTCCAGCCATTGCTAAGTCTCTAGGAACAAATCCAGAGAAGGGAATCAAGGATAATGATGATGTTGTGAATGAACGACGTCAAGTATTCGGTTCGAATACTTACCACAAGCGGCCTCCCAAGAGTTTCTTTCATTTTGTGGTGGAAGCTTTCAAGGATACCACCATTGTCATTTTACTTATATGTGCGGCTCTGGCACTTGGGTTTGGAATAAAAGAACATGGAGGACAAGAAGGATGGTATGAAGGCGGGAGCATATTTGTAGCTGTTGCGCTGGTGGTTGTTGTTTCAGCCATCAGCAACTTCAGACAGGAGATTCAATTCGAGAAGTTGTCAAAAATAAGTAACAACATCAAAGTGGAGGTAGTTTGTTTTTATTTTTAGTTCAATAAAAGAAAGTTTAGGTTTCGAACCTTAGACATCAAAGAAAGCTATTAGTTTGTCCATCACTGAGTTATGCTCATATTGACCAAAGTAGTCTTAAGTTGATAGATTATGGTCAATTTAATCTAGTCTTATTCTTAACACTACTAGAGTTTTTCTTCGATATAGTACTTCTTACTCTCATACGAAGATAAACTATTACTAAACCCAAAAAGCTTCATATTCCCCCCTAACAGGTAGTGAGAGATGGAAGACGCATAGAAGTTTCCATCTTCAATCTAGTGGTTGGAGATGTCGTGGTTCTAAACCTTGGGGACCAAATTCCAGCAGATGGGTTGTTCTTAAGTGGTCATTCATTGCAGGTGGATGAGTCAAGCATGACAGGAGAGAGCGATCATGTGATACTCAATTCAACGGAGAACCCCTTCTTGTTGTCTGGAACAAAAGTAGTAGATGGCTATGGTCAAATGCTGGTGACATCAGTGGGAATGGACACAGCCTGGGGCGAGATGATGAGCTCGATATCTCGAGATTCTGAGGAGCAAACACCACTGCAAGTTCGTCTTAACAAATTGACCACTACTATAGGAAAGGTAATGTTAAATTGACAACTAAATCCAAAACCTCAAATTGATAGTTTAAAGTAAATTTAATCTTTTATTCGTATTCTCTAAACAGGTAGGCCTCTCAGTCGCCTTCATAGTCCTTGTTGTCATGTTGGCGCGCTATTTCACAGGAAACACAACCGATGATTTTGGGAACACAGAGTACAATGGTCGAAAAACAGACGTAGATGATGTGATCAATGCAGTTACCCGTATAGTTGCTGCTGCAATTACCATAGTAGTTGTTGCAATCCCTGAAGGCTTGCCATTGGCTGTTACATTAACACTCGCTTATTCTATGAAGAGAATGATGGCAGATCAGGCAATGGTGAGGGAACTTTCTGCTTGTGAAACGATGGGATCAGCAACTGTGATTTGCACGGACAAAACAGGAACTTTGACATTAAACAAAATGAAAGTTACAAAATTTTGGCTCGGCCAAGAGTTCATTGAGGAAGAAAACCCTTCCCACACCATAGCAGAGACTGTTAGTGAGTTGATAAATCAAGGAGTTGGCTTGAACACAACTGGTAGTGTCTATCAACCTTCTCCGGAATCCGAAATTGAAATCTCTGGTAGTCCAACTGAGAAAGCCATTCTCTCTTGGGCGGTCTCAGAATTCAGTATGGACATGGTAAAGTTGAAAAATGCATATTCCATTCTTCATGTGGAAACCTTCAATTCAGAGAAGAAAAGAAGTGGGGTTTTGGTGAGAAAATTGGCTGATAACACAATCCATCAGCATTGGAAAGGAGCTGCTGAGATGATACTCTCAACGTGTTCTAGTTACATTGAAAGAAATGGGAAAACATATCCCTTAGATAACGAAAGCCGAAGAAAACTTGAGATGATAATCCAAGGAATGGCAGCAAGTAGCCTAAGATGCATTGCCTTTGCTTATAGACAAATCTCAGAAGAGGAAAAAAATAGCATGCCAACTGCCTCAGACGTGAAAGAAGACGACTATATATTAATGGGAATAGTTGGCATGAAAGACCCATGTAGAAAAGGGGTGAAGAAAGCTGTGGAAACATGTAAATCAGCTGGAGTTTCCATTAAAATGATCACAGGTGACAACGTTTTCACAGCAAAAGCTATAGCCACAGAATGTGGAATACTAGATTTGGACCACAACACCGCATGCAGAGGAGAAGTAATAGAAGGTTCTGAATTCCGAAACTACTCAAGTGAAGAAAGACTGCAGAGGGTTGATCAAATCAAGGTGATGGCAAGATCCACTCCATTTGACAAGCTTTTGATGGTTCAATGCTTGAAACAGAAAGGCCATGTCGTAGCAGTAACTGGAGACGGCACAAATGACGCACCTGCTCTAAAAGAGGCTGACATTGGACTTTCCATGGGCATTGAAGGCACTGAGGTTGCAAAGGAGAGTTCAGACATCGTTATCTTGGATGATAACTTCACTACAGTAGTCACAGTCTTGAGGTGGGGAAGATGTGTATATAACAATATCCAGAAATTCATCCAATTTCAATTGACAGTCAACGTAGCAGCTCTCACAATTAACTTTATAGCAGCAGTATCAGCAGGAGAGGTTCCCTTAACAGCAGTCCAATTGTTGTGGGTGAACCTCATAATGGATACACTGGGTGCTCTTGCACTTGCTACTGAAAGACCAAATGATGAACTAATGCACAAGCCTCCAGTGGGAAGAACAGAACCCCTAATAACAAATATTATGTGGAGGAACCTTCTAGCCCAAGCTTTATATCAAATAGCAATACTCCTAATTTTCCAGTTCCAAGGAAGCAACATCTTCGATGTAAGTGAAATGGTAAACGATACACTAATCTTCAACACTTTTGTCCTCTGCCAAATCTTCAACGAGTTCAACTCAAGGAAACTAGAGAAACAGAACGTCTTTGAAGGCATTCTAAAGAATCATCTATTTCTAGGAATTGTGGGAGTAACGGTTGTTCTACAGGTCATCATGGTAGAATTCCTAAAGAAATTTGCAAATACAGTGAATCTAAATGGCTGGCAGTGGGGACTTTGCATTGCTATTGCAGCTGTTTCTTGGCCTATTGGTTGGATTGTCAAACTCTTGCCCGTTTCTGATAAGCCTTTCCTTAGCTACTTCAAGTGTTTTAAGGGCTGATCAGTTAACCAAATCCTTAGCCTATTTATTACTGCAGTGGTATTCTACAACTCATTTTATCAGCTCCCCGATGAACAAAGAATCCATCAGAGAGACATAGAGTTCAAATGGATTCTAAGCGATTGGGAAGAGGCGACTTCATTCATTCAGAGTACAAAATCATCTATCAAGAAATCCTTAAATGAAATATTACGTTGCCCTTCAAACAGCAGGGATTGAATTTTGGAAAACTATAAGCATCTAGTATGAGCATTGCAAAATGCAGTATAGTTCACTTGAATTTGTTCTAGGTATAGTGGATTGACAATTATCATTAAGGATTTGCTACTTGTATGGCTTGAAATTTGAATTGTTTCAAAATAAACACAAATACTGTTCTTATTTCTTTTTACATTTTTTCTATCTCTGCATGAAAACTCCGCAATAAAAGAGAAGAAATAGCGTACCGATACTCAACGGCGGAAGAGCATTTCCCTCGCCGGAATTCTTCAATCTCTACCTTCTCCCTCGCAGTTTTCGTTAAATATCTCCAAATTTGAAGATTTGACGATTTAATACCTGGCGGATTAGAGATCGAATTCAATATACACAAACAAAATGTAATTTAGAGAGAAAATAAATCAAAGCGTCAAGAACAAAAAAGAAAAATAATAATAATCAAAATCAAAGGTTGTTCATAGAGGGCTATACGGGCAGCTTTTGAGCGGGAAGGGGCACAGCCATAGCACCTATGCCTTAAACTACTCTGTAGCCCTGTAGTTCAACCTCTCGCATGCACCCCAATAAAAATAAATAAATAAATAAATAAATTTCAAATTTTAAATAATTTTTTATTTTTTTTACAAAGCTTATAAATACTATTATTTATTTATTTATTTATCAAGGTAACGAACTTAGTACGATATAATTAATAAATTTGATTTAAAAATATTTATTATTAGATTTGATAAAATTATAGATTTGTATATATGGATATTAAAATAGAGTGATGTAATTGGACATGAGAGAAGAAGGGCACGTGCATTAAATTGAGAAGTGAGGTTTGGATTAAAAAAGCAATCACTTCTTTATTTATTTAATTTAATTTAATTTTTTGAAAAGGAAATTAATCAAACGCATTTAATTGCACACAGTGATGTAACAGTGGAAAAAAACCCTAAAATTGATTGCATCTGCCATGCATCCCTACTTCTCTGCCACCTGTCCAAATCTATAATATTTATAATTTTTATGAAATTTTAATTATTAATATAAAAAAATATTAAGTTTATGACTCTAATTTTTTTAAAAAATTTTTAATTTTATTTCTTCCAAAAACCCCTCTCTAAGTCTCCCCTTATAAATGAACGCAACGGACACATTCCTGCCTTTGAATTTTTCAACGAGAAGTACTTAAACTTTTCTTCTGGTCCGTTCATCCATGGGGTGTGAAATCTCCCTTTTCCCCTAAAGATTGACGGCTTTCGGTCGCTCTCCATTTCTTCTTCTTCTTCTTCTTCTTCTTCATGTTCTTCTTCTTCCTTCTCCTTGAGCGACGTGAATGCACAGAGATGCTCATCACACGGAGTACCTCTTGTTTTCCTTTTCGATTGCGTTTTATTGGGACTCGATTTGTTTTTTTGTTTCGGACTCTCTTTTCTTCCTTTTGATTTTTTCGAAATCATCGTTTCCTGTGTGATTGAGTGATTGTGTTCGCGAGGGAAAAAGTGAAGCTGCCAGCATGATCTACCTTTGGTCGGCAGGCAACGCGTTAAAGAGAAAAGTGAGAAGATAAAGAGATTGGAAATGAGTTTTGCCTCAATTGCCAACCCTAGTTAGGTCATGCTCTGACAGCCTCACTCCTTCCTGCTTTCGAACTTTGGTGAAATTTCAATTCCGCTTCATTTCCACGAAGATTAATGGTAAATTCGTCATGTTTTTCTTTTTGTTTCGATTTGATTTTTCCTATTATGCTTCGTTTTGTTCAATGTACCGATCGTAACTTTATTTTTCATCTCTGCTTTTCATACACACGAAGATTAATCGATAATGTTTTGATTTACTTTTTTGTTAGGTTTAATGAGAATCGGTAGGCTCGTTGCTAGGCGTGCAATCCGAACTTTTCTTCCTCTCTGCTTTTTCCTTTGTTTTATTGTCTGTTGCTCCTATTTTTTTTTTTAGAGAGAATTGAATTTCTTTCTCTTTTGCTTTTGTTTGCTGCTAAAGTATGCTTTGCCTGCCTGCCTGTGCGTTGTGGTGGGGAACCATTGCTTCCCGTGGCCCATGTTTTTTGGCCTAATGTTTTTAATACTTCTTTTTCCTTGTACGGGTTCATTCTGCGGTTGGCTGAATCTCTTTGTTTTCCTATTGATCTAAATCATATATGGAATTTCTCATTCTGTTTCAGTTTTTTTAACTTTTCGCTGGGTCCAGTCTCTCTGTAGATTTAACTTCTTACTTTTCTTCACATTCCATGCAAGTTTTGAGTGCTATTTTGACTGAGATTATCTCCTTTTGTTTTTATGTTAGAAATAAGAAGTTTCTTTCCTTAAAGTCGTACAGAATCGTTTTGCTTCATGCTTTTGGATGATTTTGAGCATGTATTGATTTCTAAATTTATTTTCAAATAGATTGTACTAAATTATGTTTTAGATGTATTCTTTTGGTAACTTTCAAATAGTTGTTGCTCGAGCAGTTGTCAAACTATATCAAGTAACGTGAGTGTGAAGCTCCTCCCACTACAATTTATGTAAGTTTTTAGTTATTGATCTTAGTATTGTTCTTACTTGATTAAACAAATGGTACATGAATGAATTGATCTTAGTATTGTTCTTACTTGATTAAACAAATGGTACATGAATGAATTGAGACTATAACTTCATGCAAAATTATGCAAAATTGAAACTATAATTGTGTTTGGTTTGTAGCTTCTATGTGATTTACTGTAAGATAAATAGTGTTCTTAAAAGTTGTTTAAGACAAGTAGCTAATGGTTTATCTGGGTGACAGGTGTTTGATTTGGACTTTAAATTTTGGTTTCAATCCTATGCATGAATTCTATTTGTTTGTTTAGCTAAACTATGGTATGAATTTAGATTTTGATCCTGTATTAGATCAACTTGTGGGTTTTGTTATTCTTTTTAATGATTAAAGGTTCAATGTTTTGTCTTTCTTTTTGATTCATAGGAAAGAGTCTTCTTGAACAGTGTCCCTATTATTTTAGGATAAAAGTTTCAATGATGGTAATTTACTTTCATGGAAGTTTGAATAAAGAAAATAGCTTCTTCAACAATTTTTAAAAACACTTCAATCAATGGTTATATATATATATATATATATATATATATGTATGTATGGAGTATGCACGTGATTGTAGAAGAGAATCACGTGCTCGAGGTAACACATTTTTTTGAAAAAAAGTACTAAAATTGAATATAAAAAGACGAAAAGAGGAAAAGACAATAAACCCTAAAACCTAACAGAACTGCTGACCTCTTTTTGAGATCGATTCTCTCTCTAGTTGGGAGCCTCTTTATTATTATTATTATTATTTATTTTCTATTTCAAATAATTATAATTTGATCTGATTTTCTTGCTTATTAATAACATATAAATGACTTATGTTTATGTTTTTGTATTATGAATTTGTTTAATTTAACATAGATTACTATACTTGATTGGTCTTGTCTAGTCTTGTATATTCTTCTGGTTGCTTCTTTTGTTTATCGAGATAGTTTAATGATAAATAATATTATATCATAAAATTTCAGTTAAATAGTTATTTGCTACTTCTTTTTTTTTTTTTTTAATTACAAGGAATAAAGAATTTGATGCATTTTAGTAAGTAGTTGATGTAAATGTTGGGTAGGTATGATATTAAAGTTGTAGTAATAAGTGTTGGATGATGAAAGTCCCACATCGGTTAATTTAGGGAATGGTCATGAGTTTATAATCTAAGAATACACTCTCCGTATGAGGTCTTTTGGGAAGCCCAAAGCAAAGTCATGAGAGCTTACAGAGTTTATAATCTAAGAATACACTCTCCGTATGAGGTCTTTTGGGAAGCCCAAAGCAAAGTCATGAGAGCTTACACTCAAAGTGGACAATATATCATACCATTGTGGAGAGTCGTGTTCGTCTAACAATAAGAATGATTAAAATAATTAGTTAATTTTTGAAATTCTACAAAGTAGATTAAACCAAACCCTAATTAGAGTAGAGCATGGGATTCTAGAAAAGTGGATGTGAAAAAAAGAAGAAAAGAAGCTCCCAATTCCAAAGACAAAATGATGGTGTGAAAAACATTAATTATTATTATTATTAAGAATTAGTGTTACACAACTTCAAGGGTTGAGACTAGAGGGGGTACCCATTTTTAACACAATTTTAGCACCTTTTTTTTCTTCTTTCTTTATGCTTGCATTAATCAATCATATCACTTCCTCTTCTTTCTCCTTTGTTTTTTTGTAATCATTTTATTCATCCCGATTATTTAGGGTTCCTAATATTAGTATTGATCTGCTTTTTGTGTGTCTATATGTAAATTAGGGTTTAGGGCTTGAATGCTAAATCACTAAGAACTTTGTAGGAAGAAAATGTGTTATTATAATAGAGATTAATTTAAGGAAATTAAATTGTTGCTCTTAAAGGAGCTTCAATGTCAATGTTTTTGTGATGGTCTCACATTGGTTGAGGAGGAGAACAAATTATAAGGATGTGGAAACTTACCTAGCGGACGGTTTTAAAGCCTTGAGGGAAAGCCTAGAGAGGATCATATCTACTAACAGTGGATCTGGGTCGTTACAAATAGTATCAGAGCCCGACGTCGGACGATGTGCCAACCTTCTCGCTATTCCCTAAAAGGGGTAGACACGAGGAGGTGTGTCAGTAAGGACGTTGAACCCTGAAAGGGGTAGATTTGGGGGTGGTCCCACATCGATTGGAAGAAGGAAAGAGTGTTAGCGAAGACGCTGGACATCGAAGGGGGGTGGATTGTGATGTCCCACTTTGGTTGGGGAGGAGAACCAACCAAGTATAGAAATCTTTCCCTAGCAGACGTGTTTTAAAGCTTTGAGGAGAAGTTCGAAAGGAAAAAATTCAAAAAAGACAATATCCCGGATTTGGGTCGTAACCGTTTTTATTGGGTTTAAATAAATTATAAGAATTATTTTTGTAGTTATTCATTTTATTTTATTTCAACTTATTTGGAGCGAAAGAAAAGTTTGAGATTAGAGTAAATATATGTATATAATATTCCACACTTTATTTTGAAAACTGTGGAAATGCAATTAAATAAAGATAAAAAGTGGGAACAAACTTTGGAATATGAGAAAGTTTCTGACATCAAATGCAATTTCAAAATTTCACGTTCTACACAATTCCAACCAATCAAAATCTATGCTCACAAACGTGAAAGGTATTATATTTTTGGGCAAAACTATAATTTTAGCAAATTTGAATTTGCCCATACCTCCTTTAATTTTATTGTAACACGTTACACTATATTAACAACAATATATATATATATATATATATAGTTTAAAATATATTTTGCCCACCCATTTTACAAAGTGAAAAATAAAATAAAATTCTAAATTATTTAAAATGAGGATATGAGACGAATAACTTTAGAAATAGAGATAGAATATTAATATGATTATGTGTTCCATATTTGTTCTTGAGATTTTGTGTATGGATGAGACAATGATGATGACGAGGACTCCTCGTGAACATGTCTCTTTCATTTGAACGTACATAAAACAAATGTCAATATCATACATCTACCTTTTGAAAATAGGACACCAATTTCAATTTCAAATCCATTTTTATCTTTGATCGTCTGTGTATTAAGATTAGATCAGCTTGATGATTTTTTTATTTACATGATTGCTCGTGAGGAATGTTGGATTTAGTTAATTTTCTTTTTGTTGAAAGATAAACATAACCCGTCTTTACCCCCTCGTCAACAAAGATTCGTCATGCAATCAGAAATAGAAAATAGAATTGAAAAAGTGTATGATTTTGATTCCACCTAAATATTTCAGATATATTCCAACTAATATATCTCCAAAATGTTCTCTTAATAAATCAAAAGTTGTTTGATTACGAGATTCTATTCGTAAATCATAAGCTTAATTTTGTAGTTGAATGATAAAAGAAATCATTCAATGAAAACTTTTTTTTTAGTCTTAAAAATCTAGGTATGATTTCAAAATACATGATTAAAGTAGATTAAGTAACAAAGAAAGGGTATTACGAAACTAAAGAGATATAAACCCAAATCAAATAAGAACATAGTTATTCAACTTTTGATAACCATGGGATATCACATATGCATCATTCATTCTGTGCCGACTAAATTAAAATTACATCGAAATGATCGTTACTGAACTTAATTGATCTTTATAAACCACAGAAACGAGTATCAAATGAACACGAAAGTGGGTATAGAGGAGGGTGAATGTAGGTGCATAAACAAATGGCAATACATGTGAAATATAAAGGAAAAGGAAAGCAAAGTAATGAAAGACACATGGGTTTTGTTAGGTTTAGATTCTAAACCTTTTTTCTTCTCTTTGAAAGATAGTGTAAGAAGCCATGAAAATGGACCCCCATTTTACTTCTTTTACTCTTTCTTCTTCTTTCTTTTTTGGTTTCATGGATATTACTCATGTTAACTTCTAGAGAGAGAAACCGACGAAGAGAGAGAGAGACCCACATCAAAAGTAAACTGCGCGTACCATTCAGAGAACGTATTAAGATATAAACCTAATATCAGCATCAGCATAAACTTTACCATCGTACTAAAGTAAAAGAATTTCTCCTTCTTATGTCTTTTTTATAGTGCTAAATTCGCCAACGAGGTAGTTTAGATAACCGTAAACTAATAGAGTGTGATAAAAGTACGACTCCCTTTAATCAAGGCTCTGACTCCTTTTCTTTTGGAGTCCTTTGTTTGGTATGACTAAGTTTAGGATAAGACTTTGATACCATGTTAGATGAACACGGCTCTCCACAATGGTATAATATTGTCCACTTTGAAGATAAGCTCTCATGGTTTTGCTCTAAGCTTACCCAAAATGTCTCGTACCAATGTAAGAGTATTTTTTTTTATTATAAATCCATGATGAGTCCCTAAATTAGCCGATGTCTGAGACTTTCATCATCCAACAGTCTATATCCTCCCTCGTTTGGATTGAGTTTAATGGTAATTTTAAACGAGATAAAAAGAGGTTTTTTTTTTTTTTTTTTGTGTGTGTCAGCTTTTGGTAGGCTCTTCCGTAAATATAATAATAACAAAAACATCAAATTACTTAATACCCAAACAATCTTTCCCCTACCTATTTATACCCCTTTCCCATATGCCCTTACTCTTTTAAACCCATTCCTCTCTCTCTCTCTCTCTCCGTCTCTCTCTGGGTTTCTCTCCGCCGTCTCCTCCGCCGTGCGCCACTAGCTGTTGAAGCTGCCAGCATGATCTGAATCCGAAACCTCCCTGGCGCCGCCTCCAGCGCTCCATCGGAATCGGATCATTATGGTAGCTTCACCTGCTCCTGGTATCACGATTATCATTATTATTATTATTATTATTATTATTATGATTATTATTCTAACCCTAATTCACCATTTCTCCTCCAAGGTTCGTTTTTTTTCCCCTCCTTCTCTTCCATTTCTTTCATATTTTTACTCTATTTGTGCTTAATTGTTTCTTTTTAATAAATTATTTCGGATTTTTTTGTATATTAAGTGAAGATTTTGAAATGGGTTTTCTTTTTATTTGAAGCTGTTGAAATTGTAGCCAAATTTAGAAAAAATAAAATAGAATAATTGTGTTTTTGAAAATTGGGTATTAATCTTTGATCTTGTTTTAATTTAATCTTAGAACAAGGAAAAACTATGTTTCAAAATTGGTGGGTTCTCTTTGATTTGTATGTTTTTGTTTGAAATTATAGCCAATTTAGAAGAAAACAGAATTAGATTGATTGAATTGTTGTTCCTAATCTACTCAAGTTGTTCTCAAAATTGGTATTTTCTTCTGTTAATAATTTGATCTTATAAAATGTTTTTAAAAAACATGGCCTGTTTTGGGAATGATTTATAACCCATCTAAACAAATTTAAAAAATTTAAGAAAGAAAATTAGTATGTTTAAGAATGCTTTAGAAGCAATTCAAGACAAGTACGTAACGTGATCATGTTGTCGGAGATGCAGTAAAATATGATACCCATCGGAACCCGAATGAGACTTTACATTTTTTATCTAAATTTTCATCTAAATTCTACTCTGACAATCTTAATAAATTGAATTTAACATTTTATGTCATAAGTTTGTTAAAGATATTTATACAAAAATTTAGTGATAAAGAAAAAAGAAAAAAAGAAAAAAAGAAAAAAGGAAAACCAAATATTAAAGGAGAAAAAAGAGTAAGAAAAATTAAAGTTCGAAAACATATTTGTTTATATGATGAATGAGATTTTGAATATGTAAATCTCCTCTTTTTTTTTTTTTTTTTTTTTCTGTGTAATTAATATTATTTCTACCCAAAAAATTGGAGAGATTTTGGGAAAAATAATAATAATATGTATTTATTTATTAAATTATGTTCTATTATAGATAGAGATGGTTGAAATTTAAAGCCATGAACTTTAGAAAAAATAAATATTTTGGATTTTATAGTTGTTTAATTCTTAATTTTTAAATAAATATTTACAAAAGTCATAGATGGAAATGGATGATAAAATAATGACAAAAATTTAAATGGCTATTTCTTAAAAATGAGAAATTAAAATATGCTGGGAAAAGAAATAATATCTTATCTTAAAGGCTATAGAATTATTGGTTGGTGACATTCCTGTTCTTCTTTGCTCACCGACGACGACTAGTCTTACAGTAGGAGGGTTTTCGTTGCTGAAACGGGTTTTCCATAACTTGGGGAACGGGTGCTCTCCTATCTTTCATATTTTAGATCATTTAATAATTGTGACTCACAATGAGACCATTTCATCCTAGCCGATAAAAAGAGCAAAATTTCCATCATATTATCACAAATGAACTTTTGCTACTAATCGCGTCTTGTAAATTCTCAATTTGTTTATAACGTCAAATCGATCAAGCTAGAGAAGTAAAATTTCACCTCCTAAACTTTATACATATAATTAAATTCCTCAACAAATTAGGAATTAAAAAGGCAGGCAATTGCTCCCTTCTTTCTCGACTCAACCACAGCAACAGTGTCAAACCTATTTGAACAGAGATGATCTAAGCAATACAAACTAGTTCAAGCATCAAATAAAATTAAATTAAGGTCAAAATGAGGGATTCAAGCATTTTACCATTTCTATAACTTGCAGGTAGTACACAAAGCTTACGGCCCTTATCCTCTCAGGATTCAGGACTTCCATTTCCATACGAAACTAACCCCCTTTGTCCAGACAAGGAGCTCGATCTAGACCGACTCGGAGAAGCAGAATTAGCAACACCACGACGTTTAACTGGAGACCTTGAAAGTGACAAGCTACGATTCCTCGATCGCGAGCTTTCTTTCTCTGGGGAAATATTGTTATTTGGTCCAAGACGTGATTTTAGTCTCTCACTTATCTGAGTTCGCTTTTCCAAAGGACTAGGACTCCTTACTGGACTCCGACTCCTGCTATGGTCTTTGTAACGACCACGATAACTCCCTGGGCTACGTGAAACACTCCGACTCCTCCTTCCGTATCTAATTCACAGAAATTCCAACTCAAATATATTATACAGGCATCTACAGAAGAATGCTATGTACTAAATGCAACAAGAATGAACTTTCTTTGATAATACAACATATTCATTCAATTATTGATAAATAATAATAATAGTAATAGTTGTAAAAATATGCTAGTCCATCAAAAAAAACATTAGGGATTAAGCGAAAGGATTCAATGGCAAATGGAGGAAATGGATAAGAAGTCACAAGGGTTTATCACAACTTTTCTGTGTGTGAGAGACAGAAAGAGAGAGAATACCTTTGAGGGCCCCTGCCTCTAGGTGGGCTCCGATATCGCCTATCAGGTGACCAATCACGTTTGTTTCTGTAGTTCGAATACCTTCGTACAAAATGAAAGAATTAAATTCCATAGTCTTGCTTAATATAGTTAGTATCTTCAAATAAATACTTACCCGTTATTACGACTTCTTCCATAAATATTTCTACCACCATAACTATGAGGGCGTTCAGGTGATGGAGTACGGTAACGGCGCACAAATGAGTACTGGTCAGTAAAACCACGACCCTTCCTAACACGTTTTGGAGTGCCATTTGGGGAACGGCTTCTTGATTTAGTTTGACCATGATCTGAAGCAGAAGGATCAGGGACTTTTCTAACAGGACTTCCAAATGTTTTATCACGATTTCTGTTAAGATCGTTCCTGGGGCTGCTTCGTCGCCTTTCAGGAGTAGGGCTCCTGTTAGAAGTAAAAGTTTATGAAGGAACTGCTGGTATATAAACACAGAACAATTTGAACAATTGATATTAAGGGAACAAATAGTAAGAAAAAAACAGAGAAAGAAGGAAACCTTGAGTAGTTAGAAGCATCAGAAACAGTGCGTTGATTCGCAGATCTCTTGAGTTTCTCAGCTTCAGTTTTATGACTATTGTTCGGAATATCTTCATGCTTGGGGGACAGTTCACCTTCTTCCTGTAATAAATTGGTGTCCTGATTTTTCTGTTTCTCCATGGATTCCTTCTCATCTGCAATATTCAAGCATTTGAGAATATGCTGCAGTATCATCATCTAAGAATGTAAATGTGGACTTCTTATAAACCCTACTGCCTCATTAACACAAAGAAAAAAGTCATAATTGAGTGGGATGAGATACTATACCAATAATTGCTTTTGATTTAGTCTCGGAATGCTTTGAATCCTTGATTTTACGAATAGCAGCACGATGATCCACTCTTTCACTGTCAGAACTACTACTGCTACCACTAGTACTGTCACTCCCTGTTTCAGTTGAACTAGAACTCCTGAAGGAAAATTGTTATCAATGTCCAGAAACACACTGAAAGAATTTTACAGAGGAAAGCAGAAAGCTAGAACCCAACTAAACATATGACACTAACCATTTAGCCTTGCGCTTTGAACGCTTTCCTAGACGACCTCTCTTCTCTGTTTTTCGACCTTTTCTTTTCCTTCCATGCTGGGCCTTTGCTGTTTTCTTGGATCTCCTCTTCCTGAACTTTCCATCACTCGAGGAACTAGAATCAGAAACTGAAGAATCTGAAGAATAGGAATCAGATTCAGAATCGGAGCTGTACGAATCAGATGAAGAGTATCTCCTTCTCTTCTTTTTTCGGTCCTTCAAGGACTTCTTCTGTCTGCCTCTCACTTGGTCATCAGAACTAGATTCTGAAGATGTAATCTTGTTCAGCTTTTTCTTTTTCTCTGAAAAAGATCAAAGAACCATGCACAGGTATTAAGAACACCTTATGTCTTGTTTTAGTGATCCAACATAACCTACATTAATTCACTCTACCTTTTTCCTTTCTCACCGCAGCTTGACCCTTAATCTCCGCTGGTTCACCACAGTCTACAATTTTCACAGGTTGTCCAGGTTTCCCATCACCTGTTCCTATCTGCTCAATTTTCTTCACAACATCCATTCCCACCACAACTTTTCCAAAGACAACGTGTTTCCTGATCATAATTGCAGGAGAGTGTCAAGTAAACATATGCTGATTCACACACGATAAAGTGGTATAATCTTTCATTCATTCTTGGTTTTCAAGAAGGTGAGAAGGAGACAGAAGGATGCTCACAAAATTATCTATCTTCAAAATCTAAGGAGAATGCAAGAAAATATCCATTACCCATCAAGGTGAGGTTGGGGCTTAAACGTTATAAAGAATTGAGATCCATTTGTGTTTGGACCACTGTTTGCCATGGAAAGAATGCCAGGTCCATCATGTTTTAGTCTGAAGTTCTCATCTGCAGTTTTCCAAATTTGTATGACACAACATGAACATATATTTTGACACGAGCTCAATGTACTCGCAAAATACCTGAAAATTTTCCACCATAAATACTTTCACCACCAGTACCTACAAGGTAGTTAAATGTCGTCCATAAGACCCCCAAACATTAAACAATGTCATTTAGAAGAAAACAACTTCCCTTCGAATTATTCATGATAAGAAATAAGGTCATACCATTTCCCCTTGAAAAATCACCACCCTGCAGGAGCAAAGAAAAGGAAGAATATTTGTTACTAGGAAATTACAAAGGGGATAGACAAAAAAAACAGTATGTCAACCTTCTGAGGTCTGAAGGGATACCCGAAATGCCTAATATTCTGAAATAACAAATCTAGAATCCCCATAGTGATACCAAAAATGTCCAAAGACATGATTTAAGAGAAAGAAAATGGTTAATTTACATCGAAAAGAGCACTGAAATCTTTTCTGGAGAAAGAAAAAGATGCATGCCTAGAAGTTCCGTTGACCACCCATTTAAATTTTTGGCGAACACTTTATCCAAAACAACAAAAGAAGATGCATTTTATTTTCTTTTTCAAGTTCACGTTCAATACATCAAAAGAGATACCTTCACAGCAAGTCTTTATAAGATAATAAAAGGCATTTATCAAAGGAATAAGTGCATCGAAAGCATTTATTTGTTTAATTATTTCTGGAACATCAACATTTAATGATGAGCAAAAGCATAGAACAAAAGAAACATACTTGGGCCATGAACCCTTTAATAATTCGATGAAAAAACGTTCCTTTGTAGTGAAGAGGCTTCTCTGTAGTCTTCCCAATCCCCTTTTCACCTATGACAATAAAAGAAACGGCAACAAACTTTTACCAGGCAGATACTGAGGCAGGCAATATCATTAGAAAATAATATAGTATCCATAAGTATGCCATGTCTTACGCTTTCCAGAATTAAATATATCAATAGTTATAACTTTGTACAAATGCCAACTACTAAGTAATGTAGGACATGTCTAGAGTACACAAGTAAAAAATACAGAATCATTAACGATTTTGAACTTGGATATAAAACGATTAAATAAATAAAGATTACAGTAAGTATCAAATTTAGATCATTCTTGATGCTTCTTGAATAATCAAGAACAGTACTTTAAACGTAAAAGTAAAAAACCTTACCAGCACAGAGTGCCCTGAAATTTTCTGCAGTTTTGGGAACAACATTGGCAAAGAGCTGCATTGTTCAACAGGTAATAATCAGCAAACGAGCTTATTAACCATTGAACTGAAAAAAAGAAGCTTAGAAATTAACAAGATTATTCTTTGGGCCATCACTCACTTCTATGATAATTCTTTGGACTGGTTCCCCATCAATTGAAACATCTAAGAATACGAGAGGATTCTTCTTCTTGCTCATCACTTGTAGCTTCAAAGAAAGAATAATTTAGTACATCTAAATCATATGGACAATCTAAATACGCAATCAAATGTACAAATTCCTTTTAAGCAAAATAAAAGGAACAATCATATCAATTCCCACAAAAGCACCAACCCTAATCCCTCAACCATTACCATCTATCATCATCGAGATATTACATTTCATAAAGCATTACCTATCCAATAAAATAAAATATAAAGCCAACTCAATTAGCGCCTCAAAACATCAATCACACAAAACCCTAAACCCTAAACGAAGACCCATTTCACATTAAGAGATTAAATTCGTATCCAAAATTCTTTCGAACTCTATGAACTCCCAAATACAAATTCTCGAGGAAATAAAAAGGGAAAAAAAAAAAAAAAAAAAACATCGTAGAAATGGAAATCCAACATGTAAGTGATGAACAAACAAACATAGATAGCAGTAGCTTCATGGCTCAAACGAAATCACCTTAGATTGAACGTTTCGGAAACGAATTGGCTTGGACGAGAGCTCGGAAATTGATTAGCTGCACAGATTTTTCTCACTCGACCAAGGGGAACGGCCGAGTTGCCTAAGCATTCATCGAAGTGAGTTGAGTATCAATGTTCATTGTTTTAGCATTTTCTTTTCTCAATTTTCGTAAAATAAATATTCTTTTTTTTCTTTCCATTTTTTATAGGAAATAAATATATTTTTCTAATGGTAATTTATACCGATAAATATTTTAAAAAATATTTAATGAATTAAAAATATAATTTCTCTACCGTTGACCGACGAATAAAACTCCTCTGGTCTATTTTGCCCTAAAATTTTCAAAATGACTCTTTAGACCTCGATGTCATAGCAAATAGTTTTTAACCGCGTCTAGACTTCTTTGACCGTTAGTTGACTAACGGAAAAAAAAATCTTTTACTTATTTTGTCTCGAAGGGTTCAAAAATGACATTTTAGCCCCTGACGTTATAAATGGTCTTTAAGCTCATTTGATGGTAAGTTGACTAACAAAAAAAAACTCATTTTTTTCTATTTTTTGTCTCTAGGGTTTTTAAAGGGACATTTTTTCAAATGGTTTGTTAGTTGACTAATGTATGATGTGCACGATTGAATTATTAAGTATATATACGTTGATCAAATATATTAATTTAATTATATATTTTTTCCATTGTTGCCCCTCGCTATTAGCTCGCTTAGTTTGTGTATTATCGATATATATATTACGATTTTAGCAAAGTTTTTGTTTTAAATTCCGTTTAGTTCATATAGAAAAGAATCCTTAATTTCCACTACAATATATTTTTAATTAAAAAAATTAATAATTTTTTTAAAGTAAGTTTTATTAAAAATATAATATTAAATAAAAAACAATTCCCCAACTTTTAATTCTTTTATCTATCATAATTTTAGGTAGAATAAATAAATAATCATAAAGTTAATTAATTTATTTGGAGAATCTATAAAATATTTTTTAAATTTAAGAACGGTTATTTAATCACAAAAATTAAAATAGAAAAATAGAAAATTAATGCGAAATTAAGAATTAATATTAACTATTAATTTGGTAAGTGAATCTATTGGTGTTTAGAAAACAACAAGATGAGGTTAAAAGTCATTGTAAGGTCAACGGTCTGATGACCTTGTGGACCCCACCTACTGTCAGTAAAGTAACCGACAATGCGCAAGATAGCAAATACTATATTTAAACAATATATAGATATATTTTTAAAAATAATCTAAAAAAAAAAGAAAAATTGTTTTCTCAAGCACAGCACAGCACAGCAGTCAAAACTGAGCCTTCGCGCGACGTGTCCAACAAATTTTCCACGTGGCATATCATGATTGGATGCTTTTACAACGGCTAATTCTTTTCCTTTTCCTGGGGCGAATGACGTGGACAACCCTACTTTTTGAGGGGCGTTTCCATAACATTAAACGGCGTCGTTTTATCCTTTTCAAGAAAAAAAATAAATAAAATGTATTTTTAATCCAAATTTATATAATAAATCACGCGTTCGGTAATTAATTAAATAGAAGATCCTAAGAATATGAGTGTTAGTTTTTTTTAATTATTTTTTTAAAAAAATCTATTTATTAACTAAAATCTCATCAAAATTAAATATAAAAATTTTACAAATCATCACGCATCACAAAATATTAGTTATAAAATGAAAAATATTTTAAAAGTCGAGAATAGGATTAGGTTGAATTACAATCCCATTTTAAAGTTGATCGAGTTAATCTAATTAAAATTTAAATTACAAAATTAATTTTAAACTATAATTTATTAATACTTGGGAGATTAATTTAGCCCAAAATTTAATAAATAAATTTTTATAGATTTTAAAATATCTTGATATTATTAAGAACAAAAAAAATGAAAAAAAAATGAAAATTATATTTATAGTATAAATAAAATAAAATAAAATAAAAAAGAAAGCAAAAGGGAAGTAGCGTAGTATATTAATAAATAAATAAGAGTGGTGGAAAGGTGGGACCCACCTGCAAATCTGTGACAGAGACGGCAGTTTCATTTCTCTGCTTCTTGTTTCCTCCTCCGCCCTGCCATCTGTTTTCTCTCTCTTCTTTCTCTCTCTAAAGCATTTCTCCATTTCTTCTTCTTCTTCTTCTTCTTCGTCTTCTTCCTCCATCCTCTCTGTGTGTCTGAGAATGTCTTCCACTTTCTCTCTCTCCACTTCCCACTTCTTCTTCTTTTCTCTCTCCTCAAATCATCTCCTCTGAAAAGAAAACAGAAAGAAATAAGAAGATGGATTGATGATGTGCGCTTTTTTTTCCCCTTTTTTTTTGTTTTGGGTCTCGCAAAATTCGCTTCAGTTTTCACTTTATTCAAATCATTGGCAGAACAAGAATCTAGGGTTCCTAATTTCCCCCGCAACTCTCCCTTTTCTTCTCAATCGCCTATTTCTCTTCCATTTTCCCACCCCCATTATGCTTGATTTCACCTAGGTTTTTCAGATTTTGCGATTTCGCTACCCGTTTTTCTGTCTACGATGGAAGAGGTTGAAGAAGCTAATAGAGAAGCTGTGGAGAGTTGTCATAAAGTGTTGAATCTATTGACTGTCGCGTTGCCCCAAGATCATCAATCCAAGATTCAGAGTTGTTTAATGGCGGAAACTGGAGCGGCTGTGTTTAAGTTTAGGAAAGTTTTGTGTCTTCTTAATTCTTCTTCTTCTGGGTTGGGGCATGCAAGGGTCAGGAAAAACAGGGTTAAGCCACCCTTCTCTTCCTCTTCCTCCTCTTCTCCTCTTCCCCAATCCATGTTCTTACAAACTTCTTCCCCCGATTGCAGAATGGACCTTCTCCAGGCCAGGAATTTGCAGATGGGTCCTCTTTCTTTGGGGAATCCATGTCTGGAATTGAGCTCAAATGCTAAAAGTTGTTCAATCCAACAACCTCAGTCTACTTCCCATCATTTTCTTCAGAACAGGATGTTGTTGAATAATCCTAATCCTAATGCTCCACAGCCTGAAATGGTGTATCTTAGGAGCCACAGTGGTATTAACTTGAATTTTGATAGCTCTAGCTGCACACAACACACAATGTCATCCACTAGGTCTTTCATTTCTTCATTGAGCATTGATGGGAGTGTGGCTAACTTGGATGGGAGTGGCTTTCATTTGATCGGGACACCCCGATCTTCCGATCAGAATTCACACCATAGGAGGAAGTGCAGTGGGAGAGGGGAAGATGGGAGTGTTAAATGTGGAAGTACAGGGAGATGTCACTGCTCAAAGAAGAGGTTGGGAAGCTGTGGTTTTGTTTTGTGATGTCGAAATGGCAACGATTCGATATGTTTTTCTGATTCGATTTTGATGATGTTCTTGCAGGAAACATAGAGTGAAGCGGTCGATCAAGGTGCCCGCCATAAGCAACAAGCTTGCAGATATTCCTCCTGATGATTATTCATGGAGGAAATATGGCCAAAAGCCAATCAAGGGTTCTCCTCACCCAAGGTATAGGAATATCTTTTACTGCCTTTTCAGTTTATCTTGTTAATGTTGCTTATTTCAACATAAATTGATGTCAATTTCACAATATTACACGAACGAGGTCGAATATATATGCATTTGGCTGCCAATACTATGACCTGATCAATTATATGAATTGTTTGGTTGCCTTCTAGCTGTGAGATCCCACATCGATTGGGGAGGAGAACGAAACATTCTTTATAAGGGTGTGGAAACTTCTCCCTAGCATACGCGTTTTAAAAATCTTAAGGGGAATGTCCAAAGAGGACAAAGCGTTACAAATTTCTAGTAATCAAATTGGTGTATAGAAAACTTGCTCTATTTGTTTGCTCGTGTTCTCGGAATAGAGTACGCCTTCACCGAGGTGGGGGAGTCCATTTTGTGACGTTTATAATTCATCTGGAATTGATGTTGCTCATTTGTCAAGTTGCATTGTGTTACTGTATGCATTTTGCTGCAAATTGTTACTTTAGCATGTCATGCCTATTGAAACTTCAACCTGAAATTTGTAAGAGCAACAAGAGGATACTATAAGTTTATTCGATCATGTCGATCTTAATGTACGCTCAAACATCTGCAGAGGATACTATAAGTGCAGCAGCATGAGAGGTTGTCCAGCGAGAAAGCATGTCGAGAGGTGTGTCGAGGAACCATCAATGCTCATTGTTACATATGAAGGTGAACACAACCATCCGAGAATAGCTTCTCAGTCTGAAAATACTTGAGATTGAAGGCCATGATGAAGAGAATCTCCATGCGGAGCAGCGTCCCCAGTGTTTGTTTGTGTACATATGGAGTACTTTTGGAGCAGGTTTTGTAGCTTTTTGAGGGGTGGGTTTCCTTGCAAAAGCCTCTTTTTAATCAGATTAGGCAAGAAGTCAGAATTTAGAAAAGCTCTGTGGGTTAGGGTGTGGCTGTAAAATCTTGTAAACTTTCATCCAAACAAGCTTTGTTCTAAATTAATGGAGGAATCCTAATTTGGAAATTCGACTTTTTTGAATCATGTTTTTGTCCATCCATTATTGCACTCGACTCCTGAGGACCCTAGCATTACTTTACAATGGTACATGCTTGCCTTAAACTACTTTTAATAGTGAAAATTATCTCCACACACAAACATGGGTCTATGTCCTCATTTTTAGAAGTTCTCTAAATATAGAATTGCTTCAAGCTAACCGCACTGAACTTTTGAGTTTGTTAAAGTGCACCTTAACGGTATATGTAATAACTTTCAATGTGAGATCCCACGTCGGTCGAAGAGGAGAACAGATCATTCCTTATAAAGATGTGGAAATTTCTCCCTAGTAAACGTGTTTTAAAGTCTTTAGGGGAAGCCCAAAGAGAATAATATCGGCTAACAATAAACTTTCACTGTTACAAATAGTATCAAAGCCAGATATCGGGTGGTATTTCAGTCAATCATTGTTTAATATTTCGTAATCATCATAACCTTATGAACACTCTCATTCAGATGTGGTCTCCGTCCATTCATGTACTTATTTATTCGAACTTCACAAATCATAAGTTCAACTCTCTCAGTTTAGCTAGATGTAACATAGTACAAAAAAAAAAAACATGAAAAATACAATTCACTTTGACCAGTTGATTCCGACCTTAATTAGAATGCTCATAGTGAGTGAGTAAGTTGGGACGGGAACATCCCAACTTCCCATCCCTAACAACATTGATACATCATAATTGGTTGCTATGTTTGGTTATAAGGATTGGATGAACAGTGTTTGGTTGGTGATGTGTTCTTTGAAAACTAGAAGAGAATGAAATGAAGGAGTGAATGAAGAAGACATGTGAGAGTTCATAAAAAGGGGACCAATATGAGAAGAGATGGCTTTATGATATATTCTTTGATTCTTTCATTTTGTACTCTTCACTGTTTATGGGTCCAACTTCAAATGTTCTTATTCGTACCCTAAACAACTAAGGAATCTAAATCAAAATGGTCCATTTTCATTTTCAATTTCAATTTCAATTTCAATGTGTGGGGAAGATGAACTAAGTTGAGATAATAATGAATGCCCATTAAATTGTGAAGTGAGATGTCTTTTCTTCATCACTAATTCACTGTCCTAATCTTTATTGCTTCAAATAATGTTTCCAAAAACATAATAATTATAACTTTTTAGTGTTTTTGCTTCTACTTCACATTATTCTTTTTTCCTTCTTATCTATTTTATAACATTTGCCTTTAATTTCCTTCCTTAAATAATATATATAAACTAAATGCTTCCACCTATCAAAGCTTTGAACAAAACAGTAATACCAAAAAAATGCATACCATACCAATTTTGTAGTTCTATGCAAGAACTTAAGAAAAGAATTTCTTTTTAAGTGTAAAAAGTATATTGCCTAAAAAAGTCGAACTGTGAGAAGACGAGAAGTCGGTCGACTTCAATGAGAAAAAGTCAATCAACTGGCTCAAAACTCAGTCCCCGAACTCATAAGAAATGACAAACAAAAGAAAGAAAAATCTATATCTCATTCGATATTTAGTTCTGAATCGAAAATTACAATCCAACAATAACAACAATAAGAACATAAATATCCAACATTCAAGTAAAACCAAAAATGTTACAGAGCCAAGATGATTTTTTTAAAAGAAAAGTGTAGCAAACGCACCTAACCACTCTCTCTTCAACAGGTTCATGGAGAAAATCAACAATCACTTGTTGGCACCATACAGCAAAAAATTGCAGTTGCAGCATCATATTCAAACCCATATAAATACTATCCTAAACGCACCCTGAAGGAGCTAAACTACCATACTATAAATTGACGATTTGTTCAAGCCATTCTTTGGATCCTTCCTACGCTTTAGGTCTTCTCTTTTCTAGTCCCTGCAAAAAGCATAAGATTGTATTTAAAACATACATGGTTCAACTAGAGTAGCTAGAATACTTTCTGTTATAGACTTGATAGGAAAATCTGATGTTGGATTCTTGATTTATTTAAATCTAAAATGATCTTGTAGGAGTAATCCTAAATATAATGTGATGGTTCCCTAAATATAATATTTTTAGAGCGAGAGAGGATTGTCCCATGACTTCACCATATCATTAATTATGTCACCTGGTATAAACCAGCAGTCGAGAAATAATGATTTAGGACAATCCTCTCTCGCTCTGGAAATAGGGGGACAAAGGAGAAAAAATGTAACTATCAGAGTAATTTGTCCATTTCACTAGATTTAAGTTCTGTTTCCAACCACCTAAACCAAACAAAATGTTTGCAGCCTAATTGTTGTTTCAATTAAAGTCCAAATCCAAATGCGGGGCTTACATGAAAGCAAATAGATTGTCACTGGCACTTGCACCTGCAGCTACCACGGCCGGACCATTTGAAACGTTTTCAGAACTTTGCAATAAATCCATATCCCATAGCTGCACGAAGAATAACACAGATATTAGAGTCTTGATATGTCATAAACGATTAACTGGCAACAAATAGGAAGAGAACAATTCATTAAAGGCTTGAAGACGTGAAACCAAGTGTGAGGCCTCCCTAACTCTAATAGCAATTTCAAATTTAACAAAAAAAAAAGATCCTGTTAATTTTTATTCACCAAGAAGAGACTTTAACCAAAAAAAATATGAACAATTACACCATTGTTTAGAGGCGATTCTGACAATGCTTCAATCTAGCTTAAAGGTAGAGATTGAGTGTTCGGGAGACTATTGAAGAAGTTGCCTTAGACCGTTTGTTTTGGGGAGGGGTAAGACTCTGTGGCAGACCAGCTCCTTACCTGCTTTATGATTCTTCTGGTTGAAATGGAACAGGAGAATGTTGCTCGG